TCTCGTCAAACCTGGCAGATTTTTTTCTTCTACGGGTAATCTAAATCATTTATCTAATAAAAATTTTAATTTAATAACTTTTTCTTGAGTTTTTTTTTATTCTCTCAACTTTTTGATTGATCAATGTTTTTTATATTAATTGTAGGACAATGAGCTTGAGATATTCAGGGAAAAATGATGTGCCGATGTGGGCTACCGTCATTGCTTTTTACATCACGACAGACACATAGTTACGGGCGACAATTCTATAGGTGCCCGCGGTGGGGACAAGGACCGGACGACTGCAAATTTTTCAGGTGGGCCGACAGTGGAACTATTTCTACGTGCTCTCAATTGGACACAACTGCTAGGAGTTCAATAATACGACAACGGGAGAACGCCACAGGTGATTCGAGTTCTCACGTTTCTTCGATATCGCAGTCGGACATGTTTGCTCAGGGTTCTGGAGTGTCAGATGCAGGTGGCATGGGTCGTGATATGCTGCTACATTATAAAGTTAACATTATCATATTTTTACTTCTCATTTTAACATGTTATTTTTTCTTTTTAATGGGCTCTTATTATACTTTGTAGTAGTATGTGCATGTTCATTTGACCTTTGTATGTGTAACATATTCGTTTGATGTGATCAGATATGTTTTAGTTATATAAATATAAATGATGTTTTTGGTATTTTCTACTCTGAACAATGATCTTTAATTTTGTTGAGAAAAAAACAAATTCTGCTGCACAAATTATTCATTTAATTAAAAAGAAAATTCGAAATAAGCTGTTTACAAAACGCATTAAACAAACAGCTAAACTGCTTATTCAGAACAGGGGCAGAATGGACAATTTTTCAGAATCAGCTATTTTTCATAAGCGCCAACCAAACAACTAGACAGCTTATCTGGATCAGCTGATCATCAGCAGATTATCAGGATAAGCTGCTTATCAGCAGAAGCTGGATAAGCTGCAGCTGCCCCAAACAGACCCTAACTCAATAGTATGTGTCTTCTCTTGAGGCTTTGTAAGAGACATTGTTATTAATAGATAAATTTAATTATATCAAATGTTTTTTAGTATGATTAGCTCCCTCTAAAATTTACTTAAAATGAGAAACTCAACTTTTTTGAGTTACTTAAGAGATAATGTTCTCATGTAGGAGGGCAAATAGGTTATGATGGAATTTCATTAAAAGGCTATAGAAAGGAAAATGTTAAATTTGAGGGTCATATATATTGATATGTGATCATGATTCCTCTACAAGTTTTAAAGTCTATTCTAAGTGGAAATAGATAATTTCAATAAGATCTCAAATTAGGTTAACCTTCAAGAGTTGGGTTCTTAAGGTAATAAGAGTAGCTTGAAATCTCAGTAATTATATGCTAAACAATACTTTTGTTCAAATCCCTCCTCTCCTTGAAAATTGTTATCATATGTTGCCATGCGGACAACGGTTGTGATTCTCCCATCTCAGCAGAAAAAAAATAACCGCCATGATCAAGAGTATCACAATTGTTGTATGCATGGTGCTCCGTGCAGACAACATATAGAAAATTTTGAGTTGAGCTATTGCACTTCGCTATTCTTTAGTACTCATTCTGAATTATGTATTTTTAGGACCATTATTTAATTTTAGTTGTGGTACTTAAGCCTTCCTAACCTTCTGGTGGATTACAAATATATGGCAGATCTTATGGCAAGTCAAACTTGCTTAATAAGAATATGATAACGATTCAATAAAATTATTGAAAAGGAATCTCATGATTTGTTGAAACTTTCTCATGGAAAATAAATTAATTAGTATCTCATCATCAAGCTCAAATTCCTAAGAATGTATCATTAGGGAGTTTTTGCTTTGGTAATATGTTTACTCTGATAATTTGTTCTCACCTCTCCCTCTTCTTCAAGTTTTCATAAGATTTCTATTATTGACATCTTAGTTTGTTAGGTATGGCACATATACCATAAATGAGACAGATGTTGGAGTGGAGCGGACCTCACGAGCGGAGTGGAGCGGAAGAATCTGTCTGATCGACGGAGTTTCATTATGTGGGTTGGAGGTGCGGGGTCAACACCCCGCGGTTTAGTACAAGGGTAATTTAAGGAATTACATATTGTATTATAGGGTTATATATATGTCCTAGTTGTAACCCTAGGTGAGTCTCTGAGAGTCTGAGATACTGAACCTTGTATTCTGTATTCTTTTCTGAATATTGAAAAGAAAGTCGTCGCTCTTCTCCCGATGATGTAGGCATTTTTGCCGAACCTCACAAATCTCTGTGTGTTCTTCTGGATTTGTGTTGATTCTTGTTTTTCTTCTCCCTAATTTCATAAGAAGTGGTATCAATGCAAGGTTCAAGGGTAGGGAAGAAAATTTTGGGCGGCACAGGAACAAAGAAAATTTTCGCCAGCAGCTAAGGCTTCGAACGATCGAGGATTTCGGCAAATTCGGTAAGGGCTCTGTGGCAGATCGGACCAGGAGGATCGTTCGTTCGTCGGGGCGATGCGATCGGGAAAAGCAGGTCGTTCGCGAAGTTTTAGGAATTGCGGATTTCAACAAGAGTTGGCGGTTTAGCTCGGCGACGTCCATTTCAGTGAAGGAGTTTGCGTTCAGTTCGAACAGACGAATAGAGGGTCGCAAGGTGTTCAACGTCTTTGGCGACAACAGGTCGAAGCTTGGATCACAACAAGAAAAGGATCGAGATGCAGAAGTTCGCGAGACGTTAAGCGAAGGTGTTCGCTAGACGTGAGGCGCGGGAGGCTGTTGCAGATGGTTGTTCGTGAAGGAGTAATTGGAAAGAGTTCCTTCTTTGTTGTACGTCCGCAGATCGGGAAAACTTCAGGCTCTAGAAGGAATATTAGAGAATATTTGAAGAAAGAAAAATTTTCTTAGAAGGAATATTCCGATTTCCTTTGCTAGAGGCGAATCAGAAAAGGGAGGTGAAGCATAATTGGAAGGGCGGACGCTGAAAGGAAAATTCACGAGGAAATGAAAAGTCGGGAAAGAAAATTCAGCGTCGAGATATTCCGGAGATATTTCAGGATGCGGTAAAAGGGAGAATCTATTGCTGCACTCGGAAAAGGAAAGCTGGAGGCTGCCCGATTGGAAAGAAACAATATTCGCCCTTTTATGATATTCCAAGACGCAGAATTGTAGGCGCAGGTTCTGGAATTGCAGGAGCTTTTCTGGAAGGCGGAGTTTTTTTGAGAAGAAAGAGAAGCTTTTTTGGAAGGTGGAGCTTTTCTGGAAGAAAAAAGGAGCTTTTTTGGAAAGTGAAGGCGTATCTTTTCTGAAAGGAAAGCGAAAGCGGTGTTTTTCTGGAAGGCGGAGCTTTTCTGGAAAAAGGAGATTCTCTGGAAAGCAGAGGTGCAACTTTTCTGGAAGGAAAGCAGAAGCGGTGCTTTCTGGAAGGAAAGCGGAGGTGGAGC